TTGGTGTTTTCTTTGCTCATTTCTAAAATATGTCTGGTTTTAAGTGGGCCATAGGACAAGCAGAACTTCCGAGTATTCCTATACGATCCTGAACGGTTCCACCTCTGTTCTGCTCTTCCGTAAATGTTCCTGTGCCCCGGGACTCATATTAGGGCAACCTCGAACTTATCAGAATCGAGGCCAGCTCGCTCCTAAAGTCATTGCTCAAACCTCAGCTACTACTAGGTCGAGTGCGATAGCCTTCTTCCCACTCATACTTATAAATGTTCTAAGGATACTCATATCCAATGCTTTCTTTCACTTTTCAGCACCCATCATCCTCTCACAAAATGTTAAAGTTTCTCATTAACCACTCAAAAAGTTAAAGAATTCTAGACACTCAAAGTCAAAGCATACTGAAAATTCGTATTCTACTCTGGATTAGCAGGAAGACCAAAAGGCATTGAAATGGTAATATTGGAGGCGCAGAAGCACTTCTTGCCGTTCGCTTTTAAGAATTTCCGTTGAGACAAATCAAGTTTTCTTCCCACCTGTAATAGCCGTTTAAAACCCTGAAAGCTAAAAACGCTTCAAAGTCGTGAGGAGATGCTTGGTGTTAAGGAACGTCCACACAGAGAGCCCTTATGGCTGTGCTGAGATATGAGCTCATAAGAAATCTGATAAGCGCTAAGTAAACAAGCATTGAAATGTGCACAACAGAAGAATGAGTTTACTTTTCGACATTTTGAGAACTCAATCTGTAGCTTCTCAGTTTATAAGATAAGCAGTCCGGATCCAAACGTGTAAACACGAAAAGATAGAGCGTATCGGTTTCGTTCTGTGTTATATCGCTAGTCTTTTGGTCCATCCGTGGTCCGTCTGTCTTGTCTTCCGGTCGGTAGGGTGAGAGAGGGTACGTAGGGTCCCGTAGGAAAAAATCCATTCAATAGTAATGCCTTCTAGGACACGTTAGCACTGGACGCGATTCCAGATTGCTTGATGGAGCCTTTGTCGAGAAGTCAAAGTGCGTTTAAAGTGAACTTTTAGGGTTCTGATATTCTATTGAAAGTTGACAGTGTACAAATTTAAGGCTTGCAAGGCAATAAGATATTCTAAACTGCTCTTAATGTGGCATTACAATTCTCAGTCCTTGTTTTTTCAGTTTTATTTTTAAATGGATTTGCATTTTTCCACCGTACATATTTTCACTTCATTCCTTTTTTTTGTACTGCATAATTATACATTATTAACAATAGCATTTTGTACAATTAATGCAAATGCTAGTAGCAATAACGAATAAACGTTTCAAATAATCGTAGTAGCTGCTAGTACAGTACCTAGACATCAACGCTACACTCGAGTGGGTGGATGGCTGGTGGCTGGTTGGGTTGTTGCACTGGGTAATTGTATAATTATGGTATGCACAAAGGTAGTAGGAATCAGGAAAGCTGAAAAAAGCAAACCCGTTTAGCGGAAATGAAATTATAAATGCAACAAACATAATTAAAAAATTATGTTATTATCCTGTTAGAAGAAGGCAACGATGCAAATTTTTACTTTTGCGCACACACAGTACTCTCGCGTAATATTTCAGATTTTTTCCTGTTTTAATGAACTTTAAATATCACTTTTGTTATTAAATATGTACTTATCATATACAGTTATGAAAAAAAGTAATTTTGTGCGCGACTTGATGAGCCGTAAGAAACGCCTGCAGCTGGTAAAATTTGTTAGTTACAGAAATAAAGCAATTTTTGCCGCTACTTTGCACAAGTATTTGCATGAATTTTATGAAAATTGTAACGTACTCAAAAAAGGAGAAAACAGTGAAAAAAGCAGCACAACAAACGGAAGGAAATGTGCAAACTGAAATTGCTTAGTTATTCGGTAATAGCAAATGAGAAGAATTATGTATGTCTCAAAAAGTTAATTTCAGCGCATTTTGCAAACCTCGACCGCTTCACAATACAAGTGGATACGGAAAGTTGAAATTTTTAATCTTTTGTGCATTTTTGCGCGCAAATTTAATTATTATTTTTTTTTTTGGTGTGTGTACACACTTCAAAGCAAATTTCGCGCAGGAAATCTTGAAAATATGCATGTTATACTCTCAAGTATTGCAATAATTGCGCTTTTTGTACTTCCTTTCGCTTTGCGACCATAAATGCATTAAATACTCGAAATACCCGAATAGCAAGGCGGCATTTAGGCAAAGGACAACCGCAATTTGCCAATTGCTGCAGTGCAAGTGTATTTGGGTATAAATGCAACGAAAAAAGAGGCATAAAAACGAAAATTCGCACATGCGGTTGAGTGCATTCCAGTTTTTTTTATTGTTTTACTGTATGAAATACTTGAAAATTGCCAAAAAGCACCCTGCACCCTGAAATATGCTGCCTTAATAGCAGGCTAATCAATGCATGAAAGAAAACTAGGCATGAAAAGTAGGCATATTTACTGCTATTGATCAAAGAACAGCGCTAAGTGGCTGTAGAAAGTGAGAGAGTGGCTCTTTGAAGGGAATTAAAGTGGGCAGTTCTGGTGAAAATTGCGCCTTTTTGTAAGGCTATTATGTAATTTCTGCTAAAGGAAGCAGAAAAATACCGAAATAGTATGTAGTTAAAACTGGCAAATTGAACGGCGCAGCAACAAATGATGCACTCAAAACATTACTACATTGAAAGCGTTCTTTAGGCCGCAGCAACTATCGAAATATAATTCCTTAAATATGAATAAAATAGAGTTCCTAGCGGCGGGGTGCCAATACCCCTTCGTATTAAGCAACTGACGCATCTCGCTATTTAAAAATGTATTTAATTTTGTACATTACTTATGTGGCAACCCTGTCAAAAATATTTCAGACTGAAATCATACGTTTGATACCCAAACTGTAGTACTTAATTGACCTTCATGCTTTTGTTATATGTGCAATGGCAACACTGTTCAAGATTTGTGATTTGCAATTAAAAAAGAAAAACAATTTGATATAAGTATTTAGATGTGTATGTATTCAAATTGGTATGTTTATATAGAACATTTATTTTATATATTTTTTTAATTTTATATATGGCAACCCTACTCAAAAGTAGTTAAGGCTGACAGTTTTTTTAAATATGATTTCTTTGATAGCCACATTAAATAAATAATAATAAATAAATAAATTTTTAGTTTGACAATAGAGTAATTTTAAAAATTTAAAATAATGGCAGCCCTATTGTAAAGTTTGTCTGTTATGAATCTTTTTAAAATATCTTTCGTTCTATACAATATCATTTATTTTTTTACATATATATTTAACTTATATTCGAGTTTAGAGGAGCGTACCTACTACCACTCTATAGAACCCACTCTTATTCCTGGTCTGCGCACAATTTGAGGGTTGGCAATTTCTTTCAAAAACTAAACTCTTTTACTTAAGACAATATTGTTGGCATTGTATTCGTAACTTTTTACTATTTCCCCATGGCCTCTTTTCCATTCGCCCGGCAATAACTAAAATTCTTACCGTGCTTATGAAATAAAATTCATATAAGTTGTATGTACATAAATACTTCAAGTTGATAGTTCCATTTTCTCACCCTGCGTTTTCTACAATTCTCAGCGTACTTGTAAAATATTTACTATATACACAGGTCGTTAATTCTGTCAGTGATTTACTAAATTGTGCAACTACGAATTAAAAGCATCTCCCGAAAAATGAAAAAATAGGTGCATGTTCTTTGATCCTGTAGGTTTTCATGGGATAATTTTTTCGTTACGGAAATGCCTTCGAGGGTTTCTAACTTCACGGTGCTTTTTCGATCTGCTATTCTAATTTGGTGGTGTGTTTTGATGTTAATGAGTTTTACCGCATTCTTTTTCGTGGTGGAAAAGCTCGCGACTGCGACAAGAAAATAAAACTATAACTTGAGTTTGATTGGTAGAAGTTATCTCTGCGCGTTGCGGTAGCCTGCCGGGGGGAAACTGTGATTAGAAAAAATTTAAATTGGATGTTTTAGGTGAGTTTCCAAACTTGAGGTCCACCGAGTGATAATCCACGTATTACCTCTCGATCATGGCAGACACTCGTACGACCTAAGTAGTTAAAATCTAGCCTCAGGATTTGCTAAACAGTTTCCTACTTGACACAATTTGTTTATTCTGGAAGTATGAAACCACTGCTTTTTCGAAGTTATGTTTACAATGAGAAAGCTTTTTAGATACTTCCGCTCCCGCCTCTGTGCGTTGCTTTGAAATGAACGAAGTGGGCCATACTTCTTTCTACCTACATACATACTTCAAGTTTCCTTTACGAACTTAATCAAATCAGTAATGGCACACATTAGAGAAAAAATAATGAAATAAGACAACTTAATTTTTCCCGGCATAAAGCTTTCCGCTACTGAACACTCATTAATACACCAACCTTTTCCTAAATTGCGTTCGGTCATAGAATTATATTTTTTGTTGTACAAATCTTGCTACCATTACTACTTTTCTCATCACTTTCATCTCCACCGCAGTAATGCAACTTTACACTTAAATTAGCACGCAACCCACGCACACGGATACTTTTAAGCTCTGCCGTCTACCACTACTACTAAAAACTACCGCCAAAGCTCCACTTCAACTTTCCTCAGATGCATTTGATCATTCGAGTGTGAAGGCTAGACGCGCGGCAGACAGTAGTGTAAGTAAGTGACACAAACTCGTTTGTGGTTTTAGTGAGGAAAGTTTCAAAAGAAAAGAATCAGTGAATTAACAAAAGATGAAGTAAACCAGTTAAGGTAGTACAAAGCATTAAAACAAATGAAATAAAAAGAAAAAAGTATACGCACGCAACGCAAGAAGGTAAGCAGCGGCGAATGTCAAACAAAGGCACGCTGTTATGTGTAGTAGAAGAAAACGTAAAAGTGCGAAGTCAATGTAATTTAGTAAGCTACTACTCTCACCGGCTACCCGCACTATTTGCGTCTCACTTGCGCAACAACTTCTCGCGCCTGCAATGCTTTTTAAAGTTGTGCGCTTCTACATAGACTTACTTGTACAGACATTCTCACACAAATAGCAACCAAAAACCGCAATAACTCACGTTAGGAGCAAAGACAATGTACGTTACATACGAATTTGTAGCCGTGGAATAAAACGAAGTGCTGATGCTGCTCTACTGCAGCCAGTCAGTGCCAGCCATATTTGTTGGCTGCTTATGAGTTTTCAAGTGTTGTTGCACGACATTGCAATAACAAAAGTGTGTAAACTTGAAAACCCATAAAAGATCTGTATGCACATTAAAAAAAAGGGAAGAAAAAACCACAAAAACTCAGCAAAAAATAAAGCAAAACTCAAATACTTAGTATGTCGTGCAAATGTGGCACGCAACAGTGTGAGTGCGCAAACTTAATGGCTGCGCTTCGATTTTACACTGATGAATAGGCCTTGAGAGCACAGTTTGCCATGCTTGTTTTCTGTTTTCCATGTGTTTTTTTTTT